ATTTCAGGATGAAAAGGAAGACGCCTTTTTGCAATTACGATCTGATCTGAAGATTCTCTTAATCAATCTTGGTCAGCTTGTAAGAATCACAACTGACATCCGTGCAATGACTAAGAGATGCAGTGCCTTTTAGGATCAAGACCTGTTTTTTGAATTCCTCAAGAGCGTGGTCGAAAATGCACTGAACAACTGGCGGCATTTGCCATTTCAAGAAGTGGAATCAGCCATATCGATGTTGTATCATGTCGGAGAAATCGTGAAGGTATTTATGATGATGAACTTGAGTAGAATTGAACTTTGCCTAGTGCTTAGATGATAAAGTCTACAGCATTTATTACAGAAAAACAAGAAGATAAAAATATCCTGGGGCGATTTTGAACTTATTACCTGTTCAGTATTCTGAGACATGGAAAGTTTTCTGATTGCATGGCCGGAGGCACCAAAATAAGTGGAAAGGGTTGACTTGTAGACCCACGCTGCGGTCAAATTTGATGCTGATCATCGTCAAGATAACAAGATGTGATGCCTGTGGTCGAAAACATCAGCATATATTATCATTAGCTTTATATTGCTCTCCAGTAAACTCTTGCTTTGGCTGCGGTGTGAACGGATTGCATAAAATTTTATATGTGCTTGTATGACCTTTTTTCTGCCGTCGGTCGTGTTTCTGTAAATTTTGAACAGTTTTTTGACCGTTGGGATTCAGGGCAAAATTTGAGCGCTCTGTTTGTGCATAAAAACAAACCCGGACTAGGGTTACGTTCTGCATATCTTTACATTGCACGAATTTTACGCTAAGTCGAATTTAACTAACCCTACCCATTAATCACGTCTTGTTGTTCACGTGTTTACAGTACATGTGCGCAATAGCACATTAACACGTTTTAATGACAGTTTCTGTTAGTTTCATTAAATGCACATTAAATTACATTTCACTTTGCAGTTATTAATGCAAAGTAATATAGTACTGTATAAACAGTATGAAGAAATAGAAAAAAATATAATCTCTAATTTGCCATTTGACCTTCCTTATGACTTTATCAAGAGGCGAGTGAACAGTGACTTATTTCTTATCTTCAAAAGTCACTCGATAACAAGCTAAAGTGGCATCTGTTTCATTTTGGACTCTTAAGAACCGTGAGGCATTAGAAGTCATCTTCTTAATTCCTGTCTGTCCTGCTAAAATCTTTTATAACATGAGATGGTCATCTCTTTCGTCAGGAAACGTTTCGGTTCCTCTTGGGTTGCGAAGCTCAGCTTCAGCAGCTTTTGTTACTTCAGCTTCAGTGAGTTTTTCATCCCGGTGTGAGACAATCAATTCTTGGATACCACATTCATGAACTTTCAATTTAGTTATTCAGTAAACTTCACTGTCTTTTAGTCAAGTTTTTCCACATTACAAAAGCCACCGCGGTTCTTAAAATTTGGCAAACTAAGCACTGCTTCTCTAAAAGTAGTGAGAACTGTTTGGACGCGTCGATTTTTTCTTCGAAATGACTTTTTGCCTTTGTCTGAATCGTCATTAAGTTGAGCGGAACGCGCTTTTGGATTTGATCTTCATCAACGTAGATAATAATTTTTCCATGTCGTAGATAATTGTCACAGAACGTTTTCTGTTATTGTTGTTGACCTTAAGAAGCAAACTCTTAACATATTCCTTTTTACGGCTTGCATCATTTACAGTAGTATGATACCAAGTTCGCTTGCCATGGCCGTTATCCTTTGCCCACTTTCATATTTCTTTATAATTTTCAGATTCATTTCTAGATCAATTTTGGTGCGTTTATGCGTTTTAACATTTTAAATTTATGTTCCTTTTTCCAGTCATGATTGTATTGTCTAATAGCGCACGCGGACACTAAAAGTTACTAAAGTATATGAGTACAAATGCAGAGCACGTCTGTGTTAACTTGTAAGCCAAGCGAGACTGAGGAAGGGGCACGTTTGCATCGCGTCGACTGTCCGTCTTGCATAAGACCGCTGTTAAGTGTTGTGGGAGCAGCGTATGTTGGCTAAATAAATGTTGACTCTATGACCCTTTCAGGATGATTTATGTTAAGTCAGTATTTATATAAATTAGCTTCTATATGTAGAGTTTAACATAGCATAGTATCTAAGACTTAGATGTGCCAGTTTTTTCTTTATGAAAATTTATTTGCAGTTATTCGTGTTTGATACTTTTAGTTGAACGCTGTTAAAACTGGACCAGCAAATGACAAGATATTCGCTATGCTGCAGCTGGTAAGTTGCTTTGCTTTCGATCAGTGTCCTTTTGCTTTCAGTGGCTAGGATCCCATAAAACAGTACGTTGGTATTTTGGCAAAGTGTCTAAGAGGCCTGCTTCGAACTCCGCAGGTACCAGGTTCAATTCCGCTCGATGGCAATTATTGTCTTATTCACAAATTCCCTTGAACAAGGAATTTACCGCACATTGCTTCAGACCAGAGTTGTTCATTCGATAGTGTCAAACCCAGAAAACCGATAACTCCCGAGTTAAGCCCCTGATCAGAGTCACTTACCATACTTCCATCTGAATTTGTTAAAGAAGTACTGCTCTGTGAGAAGGAAGCAGAACACTACACCCTACGCTTGCCACATGCCTTTAGACTCTGCCTTTACAAAAAATAACGCGTTCCTTGGTGATGACATAAAAATGGAAATCAGCCCAGCATCAACATCTTCATGAATAGAAGGACGCCAAAATTGCCTAGCAATGAAACTGACAACAGACCGACACTCCAACGGTGACAAACTTTTGCTTTAAGCAGGCGAAGGCTATACCTGAAGTGCATTGGCTCAAAAAGCACCATTTAGGTCTAACGATTGTTTTTCTTGCTAGCTGTATCGAAAACTGACAATTTGCTAATAAACCCGTAATATTGGGGTTATTCTTTAGAACATTGATTCAGTAAGCCAATCTTCTTATCGACTTGACACTACAGTTCGTTTGGGCGCATTGATTCGTTCATTATCAGTCTAAGATCTCGTTCTGTTTCTTTTCATTCTTAATCGTCGGTCAAAAGACAGCAGTTGTTTTCAAGTGTTTCGCATGATAAACATAAACATGCAAAAGGACTTGTATTATTGTACTGTAAGGAAAATAGAAAATGAATGAATTCTGGACAACAAGAAAAAGAACTTTGTCTCGCATGTAAGCTCATATTTGATGTTTCACGTTTATCCTTCTGATTATTGTTCATCTGTGATTGTTGTTGATTGTCTTAGACAGCGGCTGGTTTAGTTATTAGGCTGGATTGTTGTAAAGAATAAAATAGCTTATTTTTAGCTAGTAAAGAGTGATGTCAGTCAGCATAGCCACACTGCTGTGGTTTTAGCGTACTTTGAAACGGTGTCTCGCTACGAAAGGCTGTTGGCAGTCGACCGTGAGCTGGTCTTGAGCGTAGTGGTACATTTTTTTTCATTTCTAATGAATGAAGTTAAATTGGTTTGTCTTTAATCCTTACTTATAGACATCGTTTCTGGACCAACGTGGCTTGCACCATCCGAATCCGAAGGTAGTCTGCCGAACAGTTTACTTGTTTTCGCGATTCGTGCGTAGCCAAAAGTAATTCACTAGCATACGCAAAAGACGGTATAGACATTTGCCCTCGTTAATTTTTAGGTTGTCTCTCAGCCAATACGCGCAGTTCATTTTGACTGGTTTGCAAGATTTGTTAGACGGTTCGCGTAGCTTGACTCCGCTACTTCGTCCAGAGCAACAAGTGTTTCTGTACGAATCGATCGGGGTCTTGATCATTTCGGGCAACTTCCAGAATCAGGTGAGACATCGGCCGGCAAGCAATGCTTATGAAGTTTTGGCATGAAACGTGGACACTTAATTTTTTAAGGAAAAACATCAGTACTTGCAACAAGTACTGACTAATCTCATTGAACGTTTCAACGGCGTTTTGTCAATGCTGAACACGGGTGCTGGCTCGGCAAAGGAACGAACGCTTGTTGTCGATTACCTGAACAGCGTCATGATCAATTGCAGGTGTGATCTAATGGCTTTTGCATTCGTTTTGTGTTGGTGACAAAAAAGTTCTTAGTTTAGCCGGCTAACCAAAGGCTTCACTGGCCAGATAACTGCCCAAAGCTGCGAATGCCAGGACCTCTTCGTCGCTGCCTTAAACGTAAGTAAATAACTGCGATTCCATTGGTGAACATCGGTGATGTCTGACTTTCTGTCATCAGGTGTTCACCGACGCGATGACCCTAACCAGGTGCGAGCTCTTTAACGGCTATAAGCAGTATCTGCATCGCATGGTCATCTGTCTGGAAGGCGATTTCCTGCCGTGTTTGCCGAAGTGCGTGCAATGTTTGGTAGCGGCTACCGTCGACTTCAGGTCGGCTGAAGACTTGATCACATTTTTGCTGCAGGTCATCATCAGGTACAAGGTAATTGCTCGCTGGCGCCACAACGTAAATAAATCTAAAGTATGTCCAGGAATGCTTTACGCACGGAACGTAGTGTTTTCTTAATGCCCTTAGAAAAAACGTCGTGCGTTGTTTAAAAGCGGTCCATTATATTTATGAAAGAACAAACAACATTTGGCCGTTGTTGAGTTTCTTTTTGAAGATTTTGCAGTCTGAGTTTAGTGTAAATCCATGAATGAAGTTAGGCAGCTATTGACTGATAGTGCCGTGTGAAGCTACGAACAGTGTTGTACGTTTGAGTTAATTGACTTGTACAATAATATACCTATTTAGGAGAAAGCCTGTCCGTCATTGGAGCTGGTGTTCTCGACGGTTTTTACTTCGATCTGGAAAATACTCAGCATTCCCGTCGAGGAAAACAACCAGGTATCCTTGAGGGAATTGTCTGACCTGCGGCGTTCCTACTATCAGCTGTTGTGCGCACTTTTTTCTGCAAAGTTATCTGGTCTTTTGAATTGTCAGGGTAGGCGATCTTCGTTGGGACCGAGAATAATAAACATGATACTTTCATATTGCAGCACCGTCTGTGATAGAACCGCTCCTGGACAGCATTGCTGACGGCTTCCGGTCTCCGGATATTACCGTAAGCAGTTTTTAGGTTACAGGCCCTAAAAATTCTGTACTGCTTATGTATTTATTTTAAAGAAATTTTATGACTGTCGTCGTATTAACAACGACATGAATGTTATATCGTACAGTATATCTTGAAATATTATGTTTAGTCTGTGCAGTAAAACATGGTTAATTCAACTCATTAATTTGAAATTTCCACGTAATTCGAATTGCCCTTCAGTTCTGCACCTGAAGAACAAATTTTATGAAAGAAAATACCTGGATGATTCGAAGTTCTTGGTAATTCGTAATTGCAAAAGAAATTTGACCCCTTGTTCGTAATATCGATTCCTGTTTCTGAATAATCTCAAACCCTGGGATAAAGAGTGACCATCACAACGGACGTTAATATCTGCCAGGTATTCTGGCAGTAACCTATCGATGCGGAAAAAGGCTATTGATCCAGCTGCACGAACATTTGTTGGCTGGAATATCGTTATAGATGTATTCGATAAGTGTTAGGTGGATAACTAGTATAGCGTGTCAACGGCTCCATTAAATATTCTGAATGCAGTCTCTTTTCTCCTGCCCTAAGGAGATAGCATAGACAAATTTACAGAGCAAACTCAGAGGCCAGGCAATCGTTTGTTGGCCCAGAGCTCGTAACGCTGTCATCGCTCCTTTGTTTTTGTTGTTGAATAATGCGAAATAAAATCTGTAAAAAACGCATGTTCGTAAAATTATGCATCTATTACTTTTACTGCCTTTTGTTCACTAGGTAACATGACTGACATATCGGCGTCCCTCGTAGACTCAGTTCTTTCGCATACTGTAGGACGATGGTGCTTCTAAATTCCTCATCGGCCTTTTCCACTTCCATGCTGGGATTGTTTTATCGCTTAATCCTTACGTAGCAATGGTTATTTGATTTTTACACGCCAGATATTGAATAAGTTTTCCTTATCAACTGTCCTTATTCTATCGAACAGATTCAGTGTATTCACTGATATTGAAACGTTCAGAGAAACACGTAGCTATTCGTAGATCTGCGAACATATGTGAACATATGATGCTTTAATCTGGTTATGTACGAGCTTGTACAACTTTTAAGCATACCGTTTCACGCGTGCGCAGTGTTTAGCAATGCTTATTGACCCATTTTATATCTGATTTAGTCAGTAAGAAGTAAACAGAAGCATGAAAAAGATTTTTTGGCTCTGGTTTTCCAGAAACGATAAATATGTGAATTTATTTAGTTTCCTACTAATCTAATTCACCAGTAGCGGCTTTCTCGCTCTGTCTCGAACAGGAACATAACTCAAAAATTTTTCACCGTCAAGCTATTTTTTGTGAATGCCTATTTGATTTTAATGTTGAAGTCACTACAGGTGAAGAAAGCCGTTACCAACGCTACCAGGTTGTTGATCAACATTACGAAAGATTTTGGACCTCCTGGAAAAGAATATTTTGAAAGTTTCCTGATGAGCAGAGCAATTCCACTTTGTTTTTCCCTTCCATGTGAAGACGGGTTCGACTTTATGGACGCCCAATCTCTTCAGGTATTTTCTGTTTTTTAGTTTTGTTGCGGCGCTTATGTTGTCTTTGTTTAGATTCTGAACGAAATTGGACTCATTATGAAGGACATTTTTGTTTTCAGAGGAGAAGAATTGTATTCTTTTCTGTATTATATTTTAAACTCCAAAATTCCTGCTCCCATGCTTCAAGAACTTTGTCAGGCTGTTAAACAGTATGATATCAAAGAATTGCAGAGGTATCTGAGGACATTTTTTCACCGACGGTTCATTACAGATAACATCGTTCCATAAGGTGTGCAGAGAAATAAAATGCTCAAGGTAATCTTGAAAATTGCGGATACGAAAACATTTTTTGATGCCTCTGCGAGTCAATATGCTGTACTGCTTTAGCATGAAGTCTAGCAGCCCCAGATTATAAAGAATTTGGAGATAACTTAATGTGCTTACTAAAGTCAGTAATTTCGCAGAATAATAGCAATTTGGCGAAACATGACAAACATATTTCAGTAAGGAACATCTTAAACCTTTCTGCATAATTTGACCTTTTGAATTTATTCCGCGTTGCACCAACGTTGTTACATCCACACACTTGAGGATGCCGTTCGCCATGCCAGGCAATTTATTAGCTTAAGTAGATCAGTACTTTTCTCATTCTATTTCCTGACTAGAGCAATACCCAAATCATATTTGGTGATCAGGTAAAACATCACTTAAGGGAATGTAGCATGCAATGACATTTTATGTATTTGGAGGCAAATGGGCGTAAATTTGTGCTCAGAAACCCATTCACGGCTAAAAACTTCAATTTTGATCATGGTGGAAATTACGGCGTACCCACTCATTAAACACTATCGTTGAGATAATTTTATTGCTCGAATAGTATAACTATGATGACACTAGACCGGGATGTTTCTTTAGCCAATAAAACTGATATGCATCAAGGACTGAAGATGCTAACGTATCATGCTGACCTCGAGTAAGCAACTAACGTTGGTCTAGTGAGTAGTTCTATACAATATAGTTGCGACAGCTGGCAATACCAGAAGTCCAGAAGTCAAAAGTGGACGAATTGATTTGGCACAACAGATCTTTAAGCAGAATATTGACGGACTGCCTAAATAGCTTTCTACGAGTATGAAGACGATGCAGTGTTTTATACAAACTGGTGGAATTACATTAACTGAAAACAACCTTTGAAATTTACTATAGTATGCTAATTTCAAAAGCTATATATAAGATTGTGAATCTTTTGCCACATTTAAAACAATCATGACAAATGTCTGGGGAAAATAATCTAAAAATACTTAAATGCAGCAAATCGAAGGTACTGAGCTTATGTCAGCGCTGTGATGTTCACAATGTTAGAGCAAAGTTCCACCAACGTATTGCTAATACGACTATGGTTCAAAAGATGCAAAAACCTTTATTTAAAAAATATCACAGTCATGAGATATTTTCAGATCGAGATCGACTTTGGAGAAAACTTCTTAACCAAATGGAAAATTCTTCAACTGGAACCGCAGTCCAAATTCGTTGCAACACCGCTGCCGGAATCACTACAGAATTTCATACTACATATAGAGTCAAGATAAAACAGTAAAACTACTTACTTCCTTGGATGTAAACAATGGATATTTGGCTTG